CTCTCTCTCTCTCTCTCTCTCTCTCTCTCTGTCTCTCTCTCGTCAATTTTACTGAAAAAGACACAAAGCAGTCTAGTGTTGCCCAATACTAGAATATTCATCACTTTCTCAAGAATTCAGTCAGAACCTGCTACTTATGTACCTGGTATTTTATGTCTCATCTGTATGTACTGGTAAAATGTACACTGTTTTAAAATGTACGAGTAAAATGTACACTGTGGTAAAATGTACGCGTAAAATGTACACTGTGGTAAAATGTACTCTGTATGATCCACGTGCACAAAGCACAGTCACACTGTTTGTTTGTTTATTTGGTTTTTTAAAGTTGTTTTTTCAACTGAGTGGCTATAGAGCTCAACTGTACTTTAAAATGAGGTGGCCTTAGAGTTTTATATATACTTTATCTAGAAGTATGTCAGACAATATACTTGACACTGGGCACCTCATATTGGGAATTCAAAACATTCAGGAAAAATGAAATGGGCAAAACATGGGAAAAAAAGAGTGCACAAAAAAACCAACACCTGGTATACAGTAGTGCTTAAACGAACAAATTAATATTGCCCTGAAAAATGACCAAATCCTTTAAAGTGAGAAATGAAAGGCTTAACCAGCGAGCAAGAGACTCGTGAAAAATTCACTTTTTAAAAAATGCAGTCACCTTCTCAATGTGTGCATGTGAATGTTTGCTTGCAACATTTGACTCTGTCTGCCTGGGTTTTTTTTTCTCTCCTCACAGGCAAATGCAATATATACTGCATGATAATGCTGATGGGTGAATTATTTTCTTTGTTCCTTTTCTTTGCATCACCTAAAAGCAAATGTCTTTCTTATTGCTTGGGTCACCTCTTACCTGCTTGTCTCAAGGATGCAAATTCTGGACCAGCTTATGATAGTCAAGAAGTTCTTTTTATAATTCCTCTTTTCTTTTTTTTTTTTCCAAATGATAACATCATGCAAGTGTAATGTCTAATATCTAGTTTTTATACTATATAGTGTAAAAGTTGAAAAGTTTCGACTTTTGGGAATGGTACATGAACCTCTACATGAACCACTCACTAGAATATCATTATCCCTCATATTACCAGTGCACTGGCTTTACTCATACTTTTGAAAATGTCCCCCCCCCTCCCCCTAATCTTTAATGGGAAGGCCGTGTAGGCCCCTTCCTCAGCTGTAAATTTATATTTCACCATTTCCCATTTAAATCTCCTTGATGCCCGATTCTTTTCTCTAAAACAAGTCTGCTTAGCTCTGTCTCTTTCAATAACTTGTAACCAATCTCAGCATGCACCCATAGCCATGGCCATTTGTTCTAAGACGGTCACCTTCTGCTGTGGTCAGCTGATTCACTCGCTTTGAGGCAGGGCTGACATAGATATGTTAAATAAAGAATCAAAGAATCAAAATAAAATTTGTGGTCTGTGTTTACAGTGAAATCAAGTAGAGACTTGTTAGTTCAAGTGGTTGGTGGGTGTTTCCGTGTATCTTGTCCTCTTCTTTGTTAAGGACTCTTTTGGGGGGGGGGAGGTAGAAGAGAAATACTCTCTTGTTGTCCTCTTCTTTTCTCTTTATTCTCCTCGTGGTTTTTTCCAGTGTCATGATTATCCTGTTTGGTAGCAGACGACGCATGACGATTGCACGGCTGACTTCCTGTAGGCTGTGACTTTGCAGCTGTACCTTAGAGCATTAGAAGAAAAAGACTCAGTTGATAAAAGTGTCTACCGTGACTCATTGTAAAATGTTTTTGTTCCCTGTGGGTTTTATTTGACAAATTGGCCTGTAGTGTGCACCACAACCTTTTACTTAGTGGAAGTTGTGATGTCCTACTAGTATTCCCTCAGACTCTAATACAGTTTAAATTGTCCATGACGGCCACACATTGTCGAAGAGAAAAGTCTTATGACTAAATAGTCATGTGCCCACACGTTACAAAAAAGTCTAATGGGGAAAAATGGGCCAAGAGCAGGATCTCCTACTGTTTTGCCAGTAGTGTAGACTCATTGTAAAGTTTTGAGACTATTCCAATTTGACCTCCGGTGGTAACACAGCTTCTTGCAAATTGTGACATTTTCTTTGTAGTTGTGTGTCCACTCATATATGTAAAGCCGTCTTAGAATGACTCGGTCATTCCCAATGTCTTAGTTTCTGTCCTTATGCATTGCAGCCATGCTATGATACAAAGGTATTGTAAAGGGCTTTGAGCTTTATTGTACGTTAATGGATGCTTTAGAAATGCCTGGGATTTTCTGTCTGCTTAGGATCCTGATATGCCAGGGTTGTTCAGAAAGTAAAATGAAAATGGCTACAGAATCAACAATTTTATTTTGTTCCCAGTAAAATTTTCAGATAAGGTGATCACATTATAGAGCTATTTTTCAATATAATCAATGTCAAGATTGATTCATTTTTCCCAACGATGCATGAAAGAATATATGCCCCTCTTGAAGAGATCCCTATCTGGATTTTGCAACCAATTTTTCACTTTGTAGATTGAATCTATGCCTTTGTCAAAAGTTTTGATGGCTAAGTCTCGCAACCATACATCTGAATCTACCGTTTGGTCATGTTGGCAGTGTGCGGGGTGGTGTTTTTGTACTGCAGAGTGACTCCTTTGCTCAGTCGTCCCTGTGTCTTCTGTCACACAACTTCTCTGTTTGTTGAGCGTTTCACTTTGATATTTTGACTGGAGGTGATGATCAGTGTTTTCATTTCAGTGAGTCCCCCTTTGTTTCTGTTGTCATATGATGAACCAATCACTCATCGCCCGTGATAATAATTCTAAAAAGTTTGTTTCCTCCACGGTACATTCTAGAAATTTTCTGTTACCTCCATGGAAGTCAGCAGCTACCACCACCCATGCTTCGTTCCTGAAGTGTCCGGGATGCCTGCTCATGTTTCATTTTGTGCTCTCTTGTCAGTTGTTTAGGGACCCATCCAGCTGATACTCTGTGATATCCCAGATGGGAAATCACAGTATTTGAAACTGGAGTTAGTGGGAGCTTTAGTGATAAGGCAATATATCAAGCACTTTGATACTTCTATCTTTAAAAAAGGGCACATCAATCTGCATATTGTTGTTTTAGAAAGTTAATTAGTAGGTTTATTCAGTGTCTAAGGCCATTGGCCTACATCACATCATATTAAAGACTCATTTGTTAAATAAATTTTCCATAATGAAAGAGTACTGGCTGTGCACATATCTCTTATCAAGGGTCAAACATTGCTTATGTCTGTCACTGGGCAGAGTCAGGCTTGGGAGGAATTAACAATTTCCTATGATGGACAAAATATGGGCAATGTCTTTATGTTTTGTGACATTGAAGTGGTGGCTGTCCTGAATGTGGTTTGTCCTCCCAAGTTTGAACGCCCATCTCTGAGCAAATTTCACCAGTTATATACCTGTCATATCGTTGTCATATGCGACCATTAAGAGGTGTTGGTGGCTTAGTAGTTAGGCTACTGGACTCGTAATCGTCAGATTGCGAGTTCTGGGGTTCTAGCCTCAGCGCCATCCCTGGTTGTGTCCTTGGGAAAGGCACTTTACACGAATTTCCCATTTGGCTCGGTCCTCTCGGAGATGGATGTTAAACTCTGAGGCCCCGCCTCTTAAATAACCTAATATTGTAGATAGGGGTGTTAAACCTATACCATTTCATTTGCGACCATTCATTCAGAGTAAATTTCAAACAGATTGCTCCCTTTTGCACTCAAAAGCCAAACAGTTTGAAATTCAATTTTTGAAAACTCCCTAATGGTAGCTCTCATTGTGCTCATTATGGCTCTGTAACTGAGTGAGTTAGTGCATGTAAAGTTCCTCTGCTATTGATGATTTACTGATTTTTTTAAAAACCAATGATTAGCTTGTGAGCTTTTCACCTTACTTTCTGAACAGCCCTTGCAGCTTTGCTTTCTCACATAACTCTATATTTCATGAGGGTATTTTAAAATGTTACTGTTATTTTGTCTGTCAAAATGGACTGCCTTTTTTGTGCACCTTATACAGTTGCTGCCCTACTATTTGGTTTCTGTGCATATTTCACCAAGTTATCACCGGGTCAGCGACATATGGAAACTGCCTTGCTAGTTGAGACCAGTTTGTGGGTGGTTGCAGGCTGTCACTGTTACTGCTTAAGACTTTCTTATCCCTCTGAGGGTTTTTTTGTTGTTGTTTTTGTCCTTCACTTTTCACCAGTGCTGTACCTGCATAACTGCATCATATTCATCTCATTAACTCAAATGCTCAGAACTAAAAAAATCAGATTTGTTTGTTAGTTGATTCGTCATTGAAGTTACACGCTAAATATTTTGTATGCGATAATTTAGGAGTTGAGTTGCTTTGGCCATGCCTGTTCTGCCAAAACAGCTTATGTCCTGGCGAAAAGATGGACTTGCTCAAGAGAAAATCTTCCCCATGGGAGAATCAAGCTTTCATCTATTGGGTGACTTGAAAAATGCAGAGCATATCTTTTTCAAGATACGTGCATGTTTTATTGTGCAAGGTTCTTTTTGTTTTGTTGTTTGTTGCATTTTAAAAAATATATTTTTAAATTCTGAATGGGTATTTTGTTGTTTGATTGATTGATAGTAAACGGAAGCCAACTTTCCTTCTAGGTATTCTAATGGAGTTGCCTCACCAGAGAGATTTGTGCGTACCCGCCTTTACTTCACCAGCGAGAGTCACATACACTCCTTGTTAGCCATGCTGCGATACGGGGATTTCTTGGACGTGAGTAAACTGCTGTCTCATAGTGGGTGGTTGGCGAGTGCTCTGGTGTGGTTTGCTTCTTCTTTCCTATCAAACACCTATAGTCCTTATCTTCCCTTCTTCTTTTTTATGTTTGTTACTCTCTTGTAACACCTCTAATCTTCTGGTGCTCATATGACGTTATGCAGTTGCAAGCTCCCTAAAACCTCTACTAAAAAAAAAAGCTGTCTCATATTGACTGCCCAGTGTAAGACTCTGTCATACGTCAGTTTTCAAAATGTCCTATGGCGGGGTCTTTCACTATGCTCTCCTGTTTGATTTATAAGTTTGTGGGCAGCTGAGCAGCTGGCTGAATTACACATGTACACAACATGTATTTTTGTAATAGTATAAATTTGTATATGTGTGTTTGTCCATTTACTTTTTCTACAGGATTTTTTTTCCCTCAGAATTTTTTTATTAGGCCTACCTTCTACCTACCTATTTGGTTCTAGTTTTTAAAATGTTGCATTTACTTTATAGGACGACATTGGATTATCAAAGTCAAAGTGGACATTTTTGAAGGTCGTGTCTGAAAGATGTAAAAGAGGGTTTATTGAATGATTTATAAATATACATAATAATATGTGGGTATATACATATGTAGAGAGAAAGAGAGAGACAGAGACAGAGATATCGCAGTAGAATGCCTTTTAAAGAAAAAAGTATTTTCCTCATTCAGGAGGAGAAAGATGACCAGTGGAAAAGATCGATGGACTTCATTGGCGCGTGTGCTGAGCTGAACTACATGTCACAAATTGTACTCATGATGTTTGAAGATCCAGCTAAAGTGAGTGAAGCTTGTTTATCGCTACCTTAGAATTATAAAGTTTTTAAGAAATTTGACTTTAAAAATTTTGAATTGCACATCGTGTCAAGCTTTTTCAAACACAATTCTTTGAATATCTTGATAATGACCAGAATAATCTGTCGATTTTGATAGGGCAGATACAGCATTTGGTTTCTGACCTCATGGTCTCAGTAACTCAAAACGGCTAAAAATGTCAGACAAAACCTTGTAATTCTGAGGTAGCATTGTATCTAGGTGTCTTGTGATAAAAGTTGAGTTCTGACGAAAACTGTCGCTGGAAAGGAAACGTAGGTTTCACGAATTTGAAACGGGGATTGATAATGTTCCGTCTGACAAAAACCCTTTTAGAGCTCCCTGGGTTTTTCTTATTGAAAAAAAGTTTGATGTACAGCTTCAGGGCACTTTGTTACTTCTGACATACGCGATACAAACTACCGTAGTCACTTTTGTAAAGATTTTTGATTCACAGTCAGCTTTCAGTTTTTATACATTTATATTTTTACACGTGTGTGTGTATGTCTATGTGCAGGATGAAGACTCAGATGAGCGGTTCCACATCGAGCTTCACTTCAGCCCTGGGGCGTACACATCCTGTGACGAGGTTGGAGCTGAGCCCAAAGGAATGGGATTCAGACCCAAAGGAAATCGTGACACAATCAACGTGAGCTACATCTGAACGTTTTGGCCTTTTTTTTTCATCTCGACTCTGTTATAGCGTGTGCACTAAGTTTTCTTCCTGTTGTTTTCTCCTTAACCTCCTCTCCTCTTCCTTCTCCTCCTCCTCCTCTTCCTTCTCCTCCTCATCTTCCTTCTCCTCCTTTGGGTGCTCTGGTTTGGTTTGCTCCTTCTTTCATATCAAACATCTATCGTCCTTATATCTCCCCCTTCCGTTTTGTGTTTGTTACTATCTTGTAACACATCTAATCTTCAGCACTTATTAAACTTTATTCTATTTCAAATGCCGTAAAACTTTTACTAAAACAAAACGAATTCAGACTCCACTCTTTTTGGCGTGTGCAATCTGCACGGCCGCAGTGACTGCTGCTTGTTGTGAGGAGGTTAGCGTAATATCATTTTTTATCCTGGCCTAGTTTTTTATAATGAGGAGTTTTGATTGCGACAAATAAAAAATGTTTCAAAGTATTTGAGTGAGTCAGTGTTTGATCTCTTCATAGGCTAATACTGGCTTGCATCATTACATGAAGCTGTAAGAAGGCATGACCAATCCTGGCTTTTAATTTTTAATTGTAGTTTAAGGCTGGATATAGTGTGTGGAACACACATATTAAATTTGGTCTGCAAGTACAGTTTTTATTATTCTGTTATTCTTTTTCAGGAAACGACCACACCGGGCAACATTCCGGAAGCCCAAGAGGAACTGCCAGAGACAGAGGCTAGTGTGAGTCAGCCGGCTCCAACCCCACGCCCGCTACGTCACTGCGTGTCCGTGCCTGACAGCACCATCTGCGAGGACCTCGGGGAACTGGTGGAGGCTGATCTGTTCGCACACGCTCACCAGGCAGCCTGCAGAAAGCCGTCAAAGTCCGATGTGAGCTCAGGGTAGTTTTATGAAAAGAAGTTTGGCTGTTGAGACCACGTGGGGTATAACAATGCTAGGAGGGCAGGTGCCAAATAGCACAAATAATTACCATATTTTACTGTCGAAACTGTCTAAGGCGGCTACCCATTGTCAAGGGGAAAAGTGGCCGTATCAGACAGTGATCGTTTTACACAGTGTAATTATGATGTAAGAAATATGCAAAGGAGAAAATGCAAAGCAACTGTTTTTGCAGGTTCCACGGTATACTTGCCTGTAACACGACCTCATGTATAATATAGGGGGGGGGGGGGGGTATACTTTGACTCCAACATTGGCCCATTATTTTTAGGTCATGTGCTAAATAAAGGGTGAATTTCTGACATGCTGGAGAGGGCTCAACATGTGGGAAATCTAGAAATTGTTGGGCATCAAATCTATTATGTTATGTTACCTTTAAAAACAACTGGTTGTTGCATCATGATTTACTTAATCAGTGAAAATGTTATTTGACATTACTTTCCCTTTGCTGGGCAGCGCCCTGGATGTATGTTGCATGAATAAAACGGGGTATACTTTTGGTCTTGATTTTTTTTTGGGGGGGGGGAAATCACTCATATTAAAGTGCTCAGAGCTTATACTCATATGGCATAGAGCGCTATATAAATGCAATCTATTATTATTATTATTATTATTATTATTATTATTATTATTATTATTATTATTATATTCTAGGTGAGTATATACGGTAAGCTCTGCATAATAGTCGACGGAATGAGTAAGTTAATATACTCTGTATAGCCCATTTTAGCAAAGGGGTCAGCGTACTGTAGCAGTGGATTTTTTCCTTGCCAGAGGGGTTCCTGTGGATGTGCAGAAACAGTTTGTAGTAAATGTGACAGGTTGAAGGTAGTGTTAAGAGAGGCCAGTTTTCAGGCTTTTGCAAACATCAAATAAAGTAGATACAATGGATGACTGAATGAATTATATCATAAAATTAAAATAACGGCTTGAGTTTATATCCCTATCCCTTGAAGAACATAGGTTCTCTTTGCCTTTTGTCTCGACAGGGCCTTTAACTTTCTGAAACATTCTCAGCTTCCTGTTGTTTAACTATGCATCAAAAGAATTTTTGTCTAAATTCTCAAACTTGCCTTTTGTGTGTGTGTGTGTGTGTTGATATTGAAATTTTTCTTTCTTTCTTATTTACCACTTCTTACTAATCCTACAGACACAAGTGTCCCAAAGAAAAAAGAGCGGGAAGTTCAAGTTCCAACCTCGCTCACCTGACCCTGACACCCCGGAGTGGGACTGGGGGGATGAGGAGGAGGGTGAGGTCACAGATGAAGAGGATAACGTGGATCAGAGAGTGAAAAGTCGGCCGACTGACCTGTCCAAGAATTTGCAGCAGGTGGACAGTGCCCTGCCTGGAGTAAGTGTTTGGTTTGTTTATCATGCATTTCTTATGTTTTATAGCTATATCACGAATTTATTATGTTTTATAGATATCATGCATTTCTTATGTTTTATAAATATCATGAATTTATTATGTTTTATAGATATCATGCATTTGTTGTGATCATCTTTTATGTGCTGAAAATGCTAGTCCGTCCCATAATTCGTGAGCACGGTTGAAGCTTAATATCTCAGCGACTACTTGCTTGATTTTAATCATATTTTTAGTTATAGTTATGTACACCCCCGATATTATGAAAATTCAAATTGGGTAGCTAATTAGTGACTTGGGTTAATTAATTACTCTTTATCATTAGAACAAAATGTGGTAAGAAGTTAGTAGTCTCAGCATTGGCCTACCTTTATTCTGTCAGCGAGGCAGAGGTATCTTCTCGTGGGTTGATGACGACTCTTGGTTGAATGAACTGAAGTCCTTCCTTCTCCCAATACTCACCTTCCATACATTTTACATGCCTTTCACACAGCCACCTATAAACTTTGTTCACTCGAGATATCACATTTTCTGTTAGCTGTTTGACATCTTTCAGTTTAATGGTTGTATTTTGAGATGCAACGGTTCCTCTGATCTTCGTCCAGACGAGTTCAATTGGATGTAAATGGGAGTGGTAGGATGGCAACCATAGGCAATTGTGTCAGTGCAGTTCCACAATTTTATCTACATGACATCTTTTGGCTTTTATGCTTTCTTTAACTAGCTAAAGGAGCTCGAGTTTAAGCTGAGACGGTGTAAAGGGTATGTTCTCTTTGTTGAGCCTATCTTTTATTACCTCTTTCCTGCTTGCACGTGTTTGAATTTTGTTCTTCCACTACGTTGTGAATATGACGCATTATCCATCATTAAGCGAGATGATTTGTCAAGTGCAGGTAATATTTTTTTTATAATCCCATTTCGAAATAAGTTGTCAATCATTTCCTTGTGATAATCCCTGTTGTCACTGGAATTTGGCTTGAAAATTAGTTCTGCATTTTTAAGTAAACCCTTTTCACTGCTTCCACTTTGTGCAACTATCAGTCTCTCTCCTTTTCCAGCTAGAACTTGTCTTTTAATATGTCCGCCCTTTGATTGCCATTCTTTTTGGGACACAAGGTAAGAGTTTATAAAAGTTTTGTCTAAGAAGAAAAGCTTATATCCTTTCTCACGGACGTCTTTCAACTCTCTCAAATACTTACTTCTTAAAACAACAATATGATTTCTTTTGCACAGTAAATTTTCCCCACAATTGATTTCCTGAACGTAAACCCGAGTCTCACTGTTTTCCAAAGGGATATCTTCGATATCTTCATATCATGATTATTGGACAACCATCTTTTCAACTTCTGTGAGTAACATTCATTTCTTTCAAACATCTGGACAATTGCTCATTAGACAACCTCCCTATCGAAACTAGGGCCGCCCTCTTTTAGCTAATGAAGTCTCTTCACCCATTTCATGCTGCTTTATCCGTCTTGACAATGTGCTTCCGTTCAAACCTAAGGCATACCGAGCTCTTTCTTTTGAATTCCTTATATCATGGTACAAAGCTCCTCTCTTTTCTTCTCTTTCAAATATGAGTAGAGCTCTGAATCACAACCTTTTGAAGAGTGGTGAAAGTGTGTTTGGATGACTTCTTGTTCGTCTTAGTGCAAACAAATTTTTGACACAAAAGCGAATTCAAGTACAAAACTTACAAGGGAACATTTAGTTAGTAAAGTTATTTGTGAAATGATTCGAAATTCCAAAGCTAGACTACGCCTCTGACTTCTTTGAGTTGCTGTGATGAAAGAAAAGAAGTCATAAAAAAACTAATTAATTCAGAGTCTCGATCCATGTGCGCTAATGTAGTTGAGTAAACAATCTCGCGATTTGAGCAGTGAGCAGCCAAGGTTAAAGGTGAGTTTTCACTCCGCTCCACATGCCCATGTACTGTGACGTCCGTTCAGCAGATTGCTCAGGCTTAAGTTCTGTGCAGCATTAGTAGATTAAAATATCGAAGGCTTTCGAATGTAAGCAACAGAATTGTACTAATTTTCCCCCTTTTTAATGAGACGAAAGAGCTTGTCAACTGTCTTTATGACTTATGTGAATAGTCTTTTAATGTCGGGTTTGGTGTACTGTAAATAGTCTAAATTTTCAACGTTTATTTTTAATTTTAAACAAAACTTGCTGAAAAAAGCAGGAACTAGGCTGACAACTTGGGAGAGTTATTTTTTCTGAAATCTTTTTAAAAGGAGTTTAATTCCTATTTTGTACCAACTCACCATTCCCCCCTCCACTATTGATCCTAACCAGTCCTCTGCCTCCTCTTTCCCTCTGATAAATACTCATAAATATGCTCAACATCCCCCCCCCCATTCCTACTCACTTCCTCAGGAGAAAGCGTCCAGCTCTCAGAACATACCGGTGGTCAAGCCCACGAACAAACACCCTCACCACGGCAAAACGGAACCGACCCGTCAGCAATCTCTCCCACCGCGGGATCAGGATGGGGCATCTCCTCCATCACCCGACAGCACAAAACTGAGTCTGAGCTTGCCCAAGTCAGTGGAGATGATGCTTAGACGTCGCCACAGAGAAGACCAGATTGGGGATGAGCATCGAGGAGGGGGAGGAGCCGGGGGACAGCTCGGCCCTGCTAGTGTCAGGACACAGCCCATTGAGATAAATGTCAGCCCGTCGGCAGGTATGGCTCGGTTCATTCTTACTAATGTTCCTGTCTGATGAGAAAGTAAAATGGTTTGCTTTTTAGCTCAAGGGGGCTCTCCTGAAAAATGCTGTTTTGAGACAATTGAAGATAAAGTTTTTGCCCCTTATTCAGTTTCTATAATAGACAAGGAGAGTTTTCTCTACAACCAAACAATTATACACGCCAATGAATCAAACTTCTGCTATAGGTAGGGCAATGCCCACTTTTGGTGTAGGTCAGGATTTATGGAAACCCCCGAAATCTGGGTTAGCCCGCTTGTCCTTAAATGCAACCAAATGTGGGTGCTGTGGTGTAGTATGGTCCTCAAAGTTCTTTTCTTTTCTGTTGATAAGAAAGTAATCTGAGGGTGTTGTGGTGTGAGCCCCTCTGCAGGTATGACTCATGCTTGCGATTTTTTCCTGTCTGGTGAGAAAGTAAAATTTTGGTACTGTGATGTAGTACGGTCTTTGGGAGTTGTTTTCTCTATTGCTGATAAGAAAGCAAAATGTGGGTGCTGTGATATTGTGAGGTTCTTGAAGTTCTTTCCCTTGTTTCTATCGTCCTAATTTGCTTCCAGTGCAATGTGAGAGTGGCCGCTCAAGTTATAAATAAATAAACGTGACAATTGCAACATTCTTTGCTGGGTGCTGTGCTGTAGTGTGGTCCTTGTACTTCTTTTCTTTGTTGCTATTGCCACGGTTTGCGTCAAGTAAAACATGTTCCTTGACATGGCAGATTGCAGAACTCTGCGAATCTATGTGTGTTCTTTCTACTAACTGCTCTGTGGTGCGGAGATCAGGGTCTTCACGCTGCCCACAAAATATGTGAGTTTGCTTCCTAACTGGAGAAAATATTGTGTCAAGTATCTTTGTCTTTCCGTTGGGATGTGATGTCCCACACAGCTCAGATCAGCCTTGACTGTCAGGTCTGGTCAAATCAAACAGCCTCCTAAATACAGTTGAACCTCACCCGTCCTAGACCATCACCTGTACTCCAAAACAGCAAAAAAATGATAATTCACAACCTCAGAATTACACAGTTCTGTCTGTTCAATACCTAGTTTAGAAAAATTTGACGTGAAAGATTTAAAGTTTCATATCATGTCAAGCTTTTTGAAATACAATTGTCTGAAATCTTGATAACGCCTAAGAATAATCTTACGGTTTTGGTAGAGCAGATAAAACATTTGGTTTCTGACCAGTAACTCAAAACAGCCAAAAATGTCAGAAAGAACTTTGTAATTCTGAAGTAGCAAATTGGTATCTTTCTTGGACAGTTTCTACTGTGGTCTAAACTCTTTCGATGGGGGTGTAAAACATTCGCAATCTATAATCAAATATTTTTTAACCTGTTTCAGAGTCTTCCAGGGCCTCCGGTGAGGAGAAGCGCAGCCGAAGTCTGGAGGACAGCGTGTGTGATTTGTCACCAAAGTCAGGTATGTCTGGAACTGGTTGGCTGTTGCTTTCGATTTAACTGAGGTTCTTTTTTCAGTGTTGTGAGTCCACAGATAGAGGTAGGATGTGCTCCATTCAGGCATGGAACTTTCCAGGATTGTATTCAGAGTTGTTCTTTATTTTTAATGTTTAAAAAAATATATATGTCAGCGTGAGATATTTCTCAGTGTAGGAAGGAAAATGTTAAATTTAATTGGAAGAAGCAGGGGTTTTTTAAAACTCTGGCTACTTTCTCTTTCGAGTGACTGGAAATACATTTTATAAAGTGTCCTCGAGAATGTCGTCATCCTTTGAAAAACACTTTCATAGGGCCCTCCTTGATCCAGAACTTTTCTAAGGGAATTTGTTTTGTACTTGTTTTTATTTTTTAGGAAGGGGTTGAGGAAGGGGGGCAGGGGAAGATAAACCAGTTCTGTCAGTTCCATACCTGAAAAGTAGTACCCTGATTACTGTTCTTTGCTGTGTGTTTGCAGTGGCGGATTATGACTAATTCTGATTTGTGTGTGTAAATTTGTTTGTTGCTTCTGGGTTTTCGTTTGTTCTGTTTTCTTTGATCCAGTTTTCAGGATCACTCTGTAAGTGTGCGGAACATTACATTTTTACAATATTGTATTTTCTTTGCTATTTCATCTACACGCAGAAATGCGGCCACATAATTTACTCTTACATTCAAACACACAAACATGCACCCTCCTTTTTTCCCCCTGATAGCCCATCCTCACTTTTGTAGATGTGTGACAGTAGTAGAAATAGAAGTCGCATGACTGTTCAGATTCCCAGTCTGTGTAATACCTTCTTCCTCTCAGATGCATTTGCCATCTTAATATTTATTTTTCTTTTTTAAAGCATTTTTATTTGTTTTGTTAAAATCGATTCTTTTAAATTTCAATTTCATCTTGGTCGGTCATGGCCTTAGGCATACTGTGTGAAATTTTAAATCCCTTCAGTTATTATTGAGTTGTGTAAAGTTTTGTGCTTTTTTTTTTCTTCTCTCTCTATCGCTTTACTTTTTGTTGTTGCTTTTCATAGTCATGAAGTTTTCAAAAGTGGAAGGGTTTGGCTAGACGATCAGCAATAGTTCTATTTGAGTGGATGATATGGCTTTTTGGTTTGCTTTTCTTCCCATTATTAGGGAAGGGAAATAATTATTGATCTTAAGATTAAATATAGAAATTATATATATATATATATATATATATATATATATATATATATATATATATATATATATATATATATATCGTGTATAGTTTTATGAGTAAACCTGTGTTACTTTTCCTTTTTGTCTTGCTTAAAATAGATCAGGGAGTTTTTAATATATAATTACTGTGTTCTGCTCAATGTATCTTTTTGCTGTTCAGGGAAAATTACTTTTCTAGTTTGGAATGGTTGGTTTTTCTGTGGTAATGAAGAAAGCCATGAGATAGGGACTCTGAAAGACTTTATCACGGTTGTATTGTTCGTAGTTCTAGTGACAGGGATGAAGGTAAAGTTTGTGTGTTTGCGTGTGTGGATGTGTATGTATGTGTGTGTGTGTGTGTGTGTGTGTAGTGTGTAGTATGTGTGTGTGCGTGTGTGTGTGTGTGTGAGAGAGAGAGAGAGAGCGTGAGAGAGAGGGGGGGGGTAGAGTTGTGTTGGCGCGCGTGCGTGCGTGTGTGTTTGTGTGTGTGTGTGTGTGTGAGAGAGAGAGAGAGAGAGAGAGAGAGCGAAAGGGTATGCGTGTGTGTATATGCTTGTTGTTTCTTTAATGTTTGATGATTCTTTTAGGGTTATTTTAAAACTATACATAGCAAAAATATATGTCTGTCTAATGGGTAAATAAACTTTTCACGTGTGATGCTGCATCCAGGGTTTGTTCTTTTAAAGGGGAAAAAAACAACAAGTTTGTTCACGCAAAGTCCTTCATACTTAATGTTTGTAAGCTTTTTTTCTTTTACAACATATTATTATGCCATGATACCTATTTCAATTAAAAAGTCGTTTGGAGTTCTTCACGATTAGAAATTCCTTCAAGGTTATTGATCAAAATGATATTTATTATGTGCAATTTTGGGGGACGTATCTATGAAAAAGCAGTCATATTTTGTAGCGATCTTGCTGACGAAAGTGGTAATTCTTAATCTTAAAAGTTTGTCAACCTCTCTGTTATTGTGTTTTCTCTAGACCTCCATTTTTATACATACAGAATGTTATCTTATATTCATCCCGTTGCAGAGAACTTTTAAGAAGAGTCAGTAAAACTAGTATAATTTATTGGGGGTAGGGGTGAAAAAATTGAGTCTTGTTTGCAAAGTTCATTTTCTTACAAGTGTCTACGAAACCAGATTTGCTGTTATATTTATGCAATTTGATTTTGAGTCTTCCATACTTTGTAGTTTCTACGAGAGTGCCATTATCCTTTCTTAAAACTGACCACAATTTGATTATAAGACAGCAGCCACTACTGCCCCCTTTAAAAGTTCTAAATTTAAACAATTTTATAATAATTCTGTACCAGATTCTTCTTGGAGTCAATAAAAGAAAGTGCAGTCGTATTTTTGTATGGTTTAATTGAGTTGGGGGCGTAAAAGATTTACTGGTATAAAAGCCAGTCTCCCTCCGCCTTCGACCCACCCCCACCCCCTACAAAGTACTCGCCCATCTCATGCCATCCATGTTGTTTCTTTCTGCACTGAAGGTGAGACAAGGTGGCGCAGGGAAGCACGAAAACTGCATTCTTATCTTGTTCATCTGGGTAAATCTCTTCACGTTGACTTCCTCATTTTGTTCTCATGACGCCAGTCTTATTATGCACACCCAATCGCGCCTTGCGCTCCGCCCCGCCCCCTTCTTCCTGTTCAACGCCCCCTTCCCCCCGCCCCGCCCTTTTTGTTTTTTTACTCGACTGTTTTCTTGGAGCATTTTAATACTGTCCTCTTTTTTTTGTTGGGGTACCTGGCTTGTGTAGGCTGTCCTTCTAGTCCTGCTGATTATTCTGGATAACTTTCCTGTGCATTCGTGACACGGCTGATGTGTATGTTTTTTATTATCATTATTATACTTTTTTGGCTATTTTAATACATGTAATCTTCATGATTTTCATATAATAATATACTTTAGTGAGCACTCACCCAGTCTGCAGAAGGATCACTTAATGCCAATACGATACATTCACATTGTTGACTGCAGTCATGCAGGACATTTTATGTAGAAGTTACTTATTATTTTTAAAATTGCTATTTGATCGCACATGTGCTTATTAAGAGAGTTCTTCCCATTGTACTCGTTCAAGCTCACTGCACCTAGCTGCCGCTTTTTACCATAAAAATAAAACGGCTAACATGTTGGTAGTATGCACCCACCCCACCCCTTTCAGATTGAAAAAGTGGCGCCCCTTTGATTGTTCGAAGTCCTCCCCCTAAAAAATCCGACTGTATCTGGTCTTTTTTTTTTTTTTTAAAGATACCGCCCTTTCAATAATTCAGAAACTAAACCGGCCATTGTATGAAGTACGAAAATAATCAGTTATTCGTAAGGCAGTGCCAATTTTATTTTCTAGCCTTGTCTATAAAAAAAACCTGTACAGCAGAAGTGCCAATTTTCCGGTTATACATGCAAACCAAAATGCGGATTTCTAACATTATCCGGATTTTGCACTTTGTACATGTATAATAAATGTTCTTGTTGTATAAGGGAGTATGACCCGATGATGATAATAAGAATAATAATGATAATAATAATAGTGATAACAATAATTGCATTTTTATAGCGCATATCCAATCTCTACAGCATGCTGTATGCGCTTTACAACACATTATTACCCCCAGCAGAATCTAGCTTCGGACTCTCATAAACATCTCGCGACTTCGCTGTGAGCAGTCAGTGCGAGCAACCGATTAAGCGCTCAAACACAATTTAAACTTGATTACTTGATTGCTTTATCCTGGGAACAACATCATAGCACTTCGGGCATTGCCATACGTGCTCTGCTCCCCGCTCCAATATCCACCTCAGAGTCCATCTGCTGATTGTTCCTGTGTTCATTTGGTCTTTCCATCCCCTGTACCATGCTGGTTCTGCCACTTCCTCTGAAGATACCCAGTTCTTCAAGTCGTAGCATTGGCGCATAGTCATGCTCAATCTCCTCATCTTCAAGTGTGGTGGCATTAAGGGCCTTCGCGACATCATTTTTGTCCATTTTAGTGTCCGACAATTTAAACTAATATAATATATTGCACGTGGGATATTATGAATTTTCATGGGTGATGTATTTTTCCCTGTAAACATTCCCAGATTCTAAAAGAACCAATATTTTGACAAACAAAATTAAAGAAACGTTTGGGTCAGCGTCGGTGGCGATAGCTGCGTGAAGGTTGCTTGGGCCGCTTTGCTCCTTTTTCAAATGTACTTATTTGAGGGGTTTTGTTTGTTTGGGTTTTGTTTTGGTTTTGGTTTTTTAATGGAGTGCGGTGCCATGGTTCGACAACCATCAATAGTCGGTGCAAAGCAAGTCTAGATCCAGTACCCAGGTTTGGCCGACATTTCGACTTTGAACACCAACTACTTGAAGCTTCGATGTGTTGAGAGTTACCCCCCCCCCTTTTACTCTCTTTCTCTATCTATCTATTTATCTATCTATCTATCTATCTATCTGTCTATCTATCTATCTATCTATCTATCTATCTATCTATCTA